GATGAAGAGCACTCCCTTTTTTTTCTTGCTTGTAGAAAGCACTTCTTATCTTGACAAATCATAAATAAGGTCTATCTCAACCTTTGGAAAGAGGTAGACTAATGACTGTGCCCTTCAACAGATTGCAGATGAGGAATCTTTAGAGAAAGGGAGGGGCAGCACATGTGTAGCATATGGTTAAAGAGAACTGCACTGAGAATAACTCTCCCCCTTCAGCGCTTTCCGTTGATATCAATATGTCTGCTTAGCAGAACAATTTAAACAGCTTGATCTCCAAGCAGTGGTGTGTGTACCGTAGTGGTGAAAATAGTCCAAGATACTGTGTCATATCTTTTTTCTTTCTGAATGAATGTTTTACCATATTTGATGGAAATCCATTCAGTAGCTGTTGAGACAGACTGCTGCTGTAGCAGGGATAAGAATTAAGAATAATAACAAGGATAATCACCTTTATTTGGCCAAGTATGTTACACACAAGGAATTTGTTTCTGGTACAAAACCCTTCATCTAACTTCCACAGACTTCAACTTAAGTCTGCTGTATGCAAGGTTCATATTTCCTTTAGTTAATTATTAAGAATATTAGAAATGAGGGGAAACATGGTAGTTTGGATACACAGCAAGGACACAAGGAGAAGCTCACTGGCTAAATGTTCATAGCAATACCCAACAAAAGTTTCTGCTCAGTAGCATAGACCTCAAAAGGGAACCCAGACTCCGGCTAACCCTGACGCTGCCAAGGTGCCATCTCAGGAGCAGCAGCTCTATAAGGCAAAGGCAGACCCATACTACTCTCAAGTGGTCAGGTAACGCTGGTAGATAACAGGACTCGAAGCTTATCTTAACAAGACTGAGTCATGCACGTTATCTCATCCAGTCCCTGAAAGCTTTGGTGATCATAAGCGGCACTGCACTCCTGTATCGATTTCAGCCCACTTCAAATGACTGAGCACCGCTGTACACCTGATACTGACGCATAGATGGTGTCAATGCATTTTACACTTCAGGCTCTGGAATGATTCAGTGGTTGATTGACACTTTGGTTATTGATCTAACCCCAACAATGAACTTGATGGTCTAACCATGAAGGCCCTTAGTCATGCTTCAAGTCACAAATGAAACAGTTTTGGAATTTGCCGGTCTTTATTTTTTTCCATTTCTTAGAGCCCAAGACGACATCTTCAAATTACATGTTTTGTTTGGCCAGCGGTCTAAAATCAAAAGATTCCATTTACAATGATAAATTATTATATGAACAAAAAGATTTTTCATTCCATCAATAAATGCTCCACTGTCTTGATCAGCGGTACGTACAGCGTTGGAACGTCATGTGTGTAATGTAATAACCCAACACTTGGCACAGTGTCTACAGAAATGACTTTACTCCAGCCTCTGCATGTCTTATCACTAAATTGCAATAATGGCAGAGATTTGCAGACTAGTTCTTTTAACCTTTAACCCCTATTTGTGACTCACACACACAGCCCTTCCATATTCTTCATTTTGTCACACACAGCACAGTGACTCACGGCATCGAAGAGCAGCAAATAAAACTTCTTCTCCTGCGGTACAAAGCCGGCGTTATTGATCACGAGCTGAACTGACAGCACTATTGATTTAAATTCCTAGGCTGAAGAGTCAGAGATAGTCTTTCTCGCTGGTAACATTACAGCAAAACAAAGGCAAAGAATCTCTCCTGTAGAGCCTTTAACACAAATGACTTTCTGTGAGCCACAGATCTGAGAATTACTCTTGCGATGTGATGCTGTATGTGCTGAGAGGAGAGCCTTTTCTGTTTCTGAGCAAAGGTCACTGGGATCTCAAGATGAACTCTACTTGTCGAGGTGGGCTTTTCAATCATAATACCTAAACCACTATACCTGAAAACGTTTTGGTACAAATCCTACGTTCCAGTCAAAATCAGAATTCGGAAATTCCCTGCTGCTGCTGCTTGCCCATAATTACAAGCTTCCTGTGTTCCAGTGGCCCAGTTTGGAAAAACCAGGCAAGAAACATCGTCACCCACAAAACTGGAATACACTTTCCCATATAACAGCTGGTATCATATAATTTACAGCATACAGGACAATGTTTAGCAGAGTCTGTAAGTGCAACAACTTTCCATTCTGAATTTAGTCAGCAGATTATGACATCCAAACAGTGTAGCTGTTCCTGTGTACGCTGCCAGTCCATGTGCTGTGAGACATTGTCTCCGAAACCTCAATAATGCCTGAGTTTCTGCAATGTAATTTCACCTTAAAGGCCTTGGAGCAACCTTGAACAAATGTTTTTTCTGCCAAAATTAGAACAGTCCTGCTTTGGCCCACAAATTTACCATATTGGTTTAATCACTGCTCTCATGTGGCCACTGAACACAGTGGAGCATTTAACAGCTATAAAGTCAGATCTTCCCTCGGGAGTCGGTAGAGAGACCAAAAGCAGAGCTAACAGATAGTGGTCACAGGACTTACTATCATCAGGTCAACAACAGGGTGATGCCCCATAATTGCTTGATGTAAATAAGCAACTGTTATCAAGTTTGCCATATTTGTTTAAAGGGTGATGATGCAGTATGTAAGTGTTGTGTTCTGTTGTCAGTTGCACATCTGGAGAAAACAGAAAGTACTGACTTTGTTATATAATGTGGCACATGAGTGTTGGTTTCTGAGAATTCTGACTATACCGGAGTACAACTTGAAGGAGCAGTGTATAACACTTGTCTTTTTGGGACTGCATCATCCCATACATTAGACAGGTATGGGATGATGCAACAACACCTCCCCTATACGCACGGTGCGATTTACACCACATATATTCTGCATACTACGGTCTCTTAAAGAATAGTAAATCGGTCATGGTGACAGCAAATCTCCAAGCTCAGCAAATGAACACCTTACAGAGAAATGTGCAGGACTGTTACACACCATCATGAGTCAATGAACATGACAAGTCCTCAGTTCGGTACCTTCATCTTCATCATTCAACCTCATAAACCTGTTACAACCTGTATAAACAGTGATGTAGCACTATAAAAAGCTATTATAGCCATTTTAACTATTAATACATCAAAAACTACAACACTGACCACTGAGTGTTTACATATGTCTGCAGTTCAGAGCCCATCAAAGACACCATTACAACAAAGAGCTCTTCCTTCATTCATTCATTTCATTTCTATTTTGGAGGGGGATCTAAATGGAAATCCGTGCTGTGACAACTTCCCACTTCCGAACTGCCTGCCTGAGCCAAGCAAACGTTTGATCAGATGTGTGTGTGTCTGTGTGTGGCTGTGTGTGTGAGTCAGGGAAAACAACTTACAACTTGTGCTTGCTCAGCAGTTATGAGAAAAAATGAAACAGCAGAAGAAAAATGCTGATAAGAGTTTATAAAAGTCTCACCACAGTTAGTATGTAAAAAGTTATCACATGTCAGGGGAATCTGAATAATTGAGAGTATTGTTTAACACCACAAAAGACAAGGGAGTAGTGGTTTTGAGGTACTTTCACTTTTAAACAACTGCTAAACTAACTTCCAAGAACTAAGGACAGTTAAATAAATAGAGAAGCACAATCTGTAGTCGCCATTAAACCTTAAATGACCATGTAATTAGAGCAGCTAAAACGTTTGTACGTGTGGCACGTCCAGATTTTGTGAATAAACACTTGTACTCACCAGTTCATAGTCGAAGTAAACAGGAAAGCAGCAGGACAGTTGGAAAGCCCGGTGGTTGCAACAGAAACACAAATGACAAATGAAACAAAATATTACTCAGTGGATACAAGTTGGGTCGAATTCTGCAAATGAACATATTCCCAGGTGTTAACAGCCCCTAACAGTGTAGTGTAGTACTCAAGCACGGAACTACGCACAAACAACCCACATAAACACAACCGGGCACCTTACCTGACTCTTACGTGTGGAGACAGAAACTCCCTAAACACCACCTGAGACCAGCGTGCGTTTCCGGAGACTAGGGCCCCAGACGTGACGGCCGTCCGGGTAAAAAGGACCAGACACCTGTGAGCGTCTACTAAATCTAACCTTAGGCGAACCCAGCTAACCCCGCCCCTCCCGCCCCCAAAACGGCCCCATAGAACTCTGAAACAGGCACGCCCACGATAACATGCCAACCAGAATTGTGCCAGTGCCACCTGGTGGTAGTTTGAAGAAGAGGGGTATGTTTGTTAATAATCTCTGTGTCACATGACCACTAGATGGCCATGTTAGATGCTTTTATGATTAGTCGCTCTAGGAAGATGAAGAAGAAGAAGAAAGTGTTAAATTAATATTATTGGATGGATTTATAGTGATATGTAGCAGGATTTTAGTATTGTAGATGGTCATACTGGCACTAATTTTGACTGTTTATATGCTGTTTGGTAGTTTAATTTAAATAACCTTCACATTTTTATCACACACATTCAGTTGCCAGTTTATAAGGTACACCTAGCTAATTCCATTCTAGTTTATTACAACAGTCCAATAAACTGCAAAAGGTGATAATGTTTTTGTTGAAACCATTTTAGAGAGGTGTTCTTTTTTGTGGTCACAATCAAAACCTCTCAAGGATCCTTGTTGGTTCTCAGAACTCAGATTAAGATAACCACAAAGTACACAAAGTGGTGCCATACTGTATATAGCAAAAGCACATACAAATGAGTGGCACATTAAAGTCAAACCTATGTAAATAAATAAATAAATGAACAGAGAAACATATTCAGATGCTTCCCAACAGGCAGCAGGGCTCACTAAGTGGTTTGAACAGTATTTAAGTAGTATAACTCATGTTATGACCCTTGAACACCTGTGGGAGAATCTGAAGTAGTTTCACAGCACTTTCCACCACCATCACTGAAACACCAAATGAGGTTTTGGAAAAATGGTGCAAAAGAGACTTGACAAATCTATCCCAAAGACGCCGCTGAAGTTGTTTTGGAGGCTTGTTCAAATTTCAGTTCCATTAACACAGATAATGTAGTGTCACTATCACTACAGGTATTATACATTCTCTACATTTATACTAATATCACACAATGACACCTGCGAGACTAGACAGGAGATGTTACAGTCAAGTTTATTCAACCATGAATGTTTCATATAAACAAGTGTGCACATAGGGAAGACCTTGTCCTTAAGGTCCCCATCCTAAACCAGACATCTACCTGAGATTCAGTTCAGTTCACCTATTCACATGGTTTTCACTTAACAACATAGAGGAACAAATCTAGACTATTTAGTTTTCTGTGGCATACGTGAATGCTACAGTAGAACATGTTGGACAGTAGTTCTCAGTGACAGTTTTGGCATTTCTAAAAGCTACAACGTTTGCCCTACAACAGAAAATTTTAAATCCATCAGATCAAATTTTCTTATCTTTTTAAAAAACATTTTTTACAAACCTTTACTAAATCTTCTTACAAGTCTTTAGTATTGCTCTTGCTACATTGAAAAAATAGAAAAATTACATCTGAATATTTAGCTGTGGATGTGGTATTTATAAAGAGCCTTGCTCTTGAGTGTTCATGGCTATGTTGGAATAGTCCTTAGTTGCTTACTCTCCACAATTCCTTTATAATGGCCAGTTTCACATCATCAGTCAAAGAAGAAGACACAAAGCAAAAGACAAGACATCCAAGAGTTTTCAGAGGCTCATCAGCAAAAAAGTCTAAGATTCTGCAGTGGTGCTGGGTGTTGCCAGGTCCTCCTCTCCCTGAGCTTCTTCCTCCGCTGCTGCTGTTGTGTCTGTTGCTACTTCCTGTTCAGTGGCCACTAAAGAAGTGTCTGTATCAGGCGCGTCGAAGGACTCTCCCCCTAGATCAGTCAGTTTGATGTAGCCCTTACTGTTGGAGCGCTCCAGACGAGGGCAGCTGAAACGCCTGCCTTTGTCGCCTTGACAACACACAGACACAGACAAGCTGCAGCGCCGTGCAGACCTGGGCTGATCCATGAGGGAGTTGAGCGACAGTCTTGACCCCATCGCCCTAACAACCGGTGATGGAGGGAACAGCTGGGTCCACTGTTGGTGAAGCTGAGCCTGCTCCTTTGACGCCCCATGCTGGTCAGCTATGTCTGTGGATATATCCTCATGACTTTGGTGAGATGAGGGAGAATCTGGCATCGAGGCATTCTTCTCCTTGCCATCAGTGTCACCAGTGTGGCTGCTGCTGGCTTGCTCCTCCTTGCTAATGTTTTCAGCAGCAGCCTCAATGACGACCCCTTCTGCTGAGCGCCCCTCTGCCTCTGCTCTTTCGGATTCCTCCACCTCACAGTTGTTCAGTTTGATCACAGGGAGGGTGAAAGCATTCACAGAAGAGGTGACAATGGAGGTGGTCTCCCACTCTTGGGGCTGTGGCGCTTGCTTGTTGCTATTGCTGTAGTCTTTGTAGATGCTGTAGACAGTGTCTGTGAAGCTCTGGACATCTTTGGACCAGCTACGAGGCCTGCTAGCCAATGATGGGTGTTTGAACACCTCATCGCTGCCTAACTCGCCTCGTAAACCCAGCCCAGTGGAGGGCCAGGAACTGCGAGTAAGCATTCCACTTGCAGGAAAAGAGCCCGACGGCCCCTCAGCATTCCTCGATTGGGTGTAGTTCACCAAACCATTTAGAGGAGAGTGCTCCTTCGATCGTATGTTGTGCAGATCTATCACTGTGGAGTAGATATCCCTCAGGTTGATTATCTTGGTTTTCTTGTCCCGGTTTTCATGAAGGACTGCATTGGCACAGATAAAGAGGAAAATACCGATTCCCATCACCAGCGGTCCAAAGACTTTTAGGTTGTCTGAGTACAGGTAATTATCCAGGAAGTCACAGAGAAAGCCACACTGAGGGGAGGAGTCGGGGGTGCTGTTAGCATGGCTCTGGCCGGAAGGAGGCTTATCATGGGTCAAGTTAGCTGAAACAGGTGGTGTTTTAGAGTAGCTGATCCTATTGGCATGGTATACTCCAGTTCTGCCATGCTCCTTGTACTCCTGCTGGTTCTGACTGGGCCAGTAGCCCAGTACGGCCATGGAAATCCCCACCATGAGAATTATTACTCCAACAGCAGCCACCAAACCAGCTGGGGACATCAGATTGAGCTTCCCTTTCACCACCACCACATCATTCTTCTTCCTTTTTTTGGCTTTCCGTTTCCTTTTGTTTTCTGCTCGGTTTTTAGCGCGAAGGGAATCCTGACGCCTGTTCATGCGCAGCAGGCCACCTGTTGCTATCATGTTGGCTATGGGACAGCAGGCTTGTCACTCAACCTGGCAAACAAATTAGAAAAAATACAGCATTAGGTCTGGACATAAGCAAAAGGTTTAGGCATGTAGAAACAGCCCCAATTCACATTACACATGTAATCGAGATATATATACACAAGTTTGGATGACTGACAGAGTGGGCAGCGAACCTTTAACAAGTGCTTTCCTGTCTTATGAATAATTTCAAATTTATTTTGTGCCCCACTAAAGCACAGTGTAAACTGAAATGGTAAGGGTCCCAAAGTGTAACAGCCTATTTTTGATACTCTCAAAAAAGGTCAATCAGCATCTGAGTTAAACATGAACACATATATATTTCTGCCAAAACTAGAATACTTTTGATCATTTTACTTAAGAGATTTCTGTATTTCTTTTCCCTGTGCACTTCTCGCTGGTTTAAACAGACTCAGATGGTAAAAAAAAAAACAGCTACATATTTCTGGGTATCAATCAGGATTCAGTTTAAGGCTATGTTCTGATGGGCTTTACTATCCCCATTTAAAAATACCGGCTGGTTTCTGGGGGGAAATGAGCTGGAAGAAAAAGGGGGCCTGCACCTAATTTTTGGTCCCGGATACACTAGCAGGTTAATCCGGCTTTGTATCCGAGATTATCCTCAAGGTATAGCATGCACTGCATTTTTGGACAAATCCAGCTAATGGCAAATGCAACGTTAGTGATCAGATGGACACTAAACCAACAGATAACATCCATCTGCTGCTGCTGGACCTATAAAGACAATGATGTAAGGGAAACAGAGACAAATACCCAAGCTGACAGCAGAGAACACAGAGTCTTTATCTATGTTCAGCTGTGCCTATCCATCCTTTGAAAATGTAATGTGTCCAGACAGGAGGCCAGAAGGCATGTTCTCACCACCTCACCCTCACTTGCTTACTCTTTCTCTTTCTCCCACTAATCTCTCCTACCATCACTCTCTCTTTCCGCTTTCTACCCAAATCCATTTCACTATCAACTGGCAGCATCCTTCACAAAAAAGCGCATCACAAATGGCAAATATGAGCTCTTAGCCATTTGTTTACACACCAACACAGACTTTGCCATGCAAGATGTTTGCATTTGATTTTGGGTTTTTGATTATGCATCACAGACCAGTCACGACTGTATGACAGGCTAATAGCAGTAGCTCTAATTCAAAATGGCAATGGAGCCACTGACACTTATCATAATTAGAGACATCTGCCGATGAGTTTCAACCACATGTGTAGAGCAGTAATCAGAGGATAAGGTTGAATAATTAGACTCCAGCATTTCCCTCCTTGATTGTGCAGGTAGCTAGGTATTTGATTTGACTAATCATGCAAAGCTTAGGTTCATGAATAACTGATTCCACAAATTCCTTTCAAAGCAGCAATTAATAAGACGTTCAAAGGTTCCTGTGGGTGTTGCTCTCCCAGCCTTAACAGTCAAAGATAATGATGTCGAAGGCCCTTGAAATCCTTTTATGATCCAAGTTATTACAAGCACTTCCCACGGAAAGTAGAACACCTGAGCTCTAGCAAACAACTCACCAGTACTCAGCTGCTGTTTATAGCCACTTTCTCTGTATATCACATCCAATAACCACTCAGATGCCTCACGGGCGAGTGCATGTCAACCTGTTCTAAAACTGATAAGGCGTAGGCGGACCTTTCTCTGTGTGTGGGGGAGAGAAGGGCAGCGGTAACGTGGACCAGAAGTGGGTGTGGACAAGTCGGATTGTGTCTCTGTCTGCGGTGCTGAACGGGAAGCTGTCAAGTCCTCGGTCTGTCTCCTACAGGCTGCTCGTCTGGCAGGACGGAGAGGAGGGGTGATTTTAACGCTCAGTCCTTTCGGGCTGCGGGGGCGCATATTATCGAGCAATGTTGTATGAATAATCGACTGTTGACATTACAGCGCATCTGTTTCCCTTCTGCTGGAAAAGACCGTGAAGCAAACATGAACTGCTGTGGAGCTGGAGGTGCCCTGAAAATGTCCAGAGCCACAGCGACGCATCTGTCTCCAACATTAGGCTAAACACTGTCTTTTTGGCCTCACAAAGTGCAGACAGATGACAAACACCCACAGCTCTTCCACGACATGACGAAGCCCATGCTTTCATAGCCATATAACACAACTCAGGTATGCCGCTGTATAAAAGACTATTTTCGACTAATTTGCACTGCTAACCTAACAGAACTGAGTGTCTAATGGCGGCACAACAGCCCTAACAAAAAGTGAAGTGGTAAAATACGGCTACTTACAATATGGACACTATTTTCGTATTTCCAAGACACCCAATGTGTTAGACAAGTTATCTCTACGAAATTGGGAGAAAAAACGTCATTTGATCTCGCGGATAAAAGTGAACAAACCGGAGTGCGCATTAATTCAAGTCCAGCGTCACCCTGACATCAAAACTATTGACCGTTTATATTCAAGATAAGAAAGAAAAACTCCAACTAAGCCAATCTGTCAGAACATTAGCGGACTTTTTAAACCCAATTTCACCTTGATACTGCCTATTAAGAGCCAGTGTGGCACCAGATGCGACTAGTAAAGACAAAAGAAGCATTGATATTCCGCCGGAGGTAAAGGCGCAGGAGAACCGGATAGTGATATTAGAAAAATGAAAACGCATAACAGCGTTTCTCTTACCAGAAATTGTGGTTTGACAATCAAACATCTTCTAAGGCGCCCCC